TGACTATTGTACATAGAAATATACCTTATGGTTAGATCATGGTGATAAATTATATTTTTATCTTTGCTTCGATCCAGGTGAAAATAAAATATTTAAGCGCGTTATTACAATCCTTTTTATCGACAGATGCTTATATAATGTATCATAAAGCACATTTATTCCTATAATTGATGTATAGTTAATTAACAACTATGAATTCTCGGCATAGTCGATTTGATTGATATTATGTGTTAAGACTGTTAAAATAATTACAAGAATAGGCAAACACCTGCTATTATAAATACTATGATATAATTAAACAATGAATAGTAATATATCATTCAAATAAATTATAGTCATTAACAATGATAATCCTTTCTTAATAATAATGCCCACCTAATCATGTATTTTCCCCTTTAAATATTCAATCTCCATTATGGCATAGACATTTTAATGGCTTTTTCGCTAACTTCGTGTAATTATGGCCAAGTTGTTGAAAAACTTTGCTTGCTATTCAGAGAGAGAGAGAGAGAGAGAGAGAGAGAGAGAGAGAGAGAGAAACGTTACCAACATTATACAATCAATGATACATTGGAATGACGAACTTCCAACAACCATCGAATAATGAAAAAATGTAAAATTAACTTGATGATAATGATATCACTGCCTGTTGCCTACTCGGATAAGCTCAGCTACCTCATTATTTACCATAGTATTATTGCGTATGGAACGCAGTAACAGTTATGCTTGGCTTATGAGTTCTCGGCGTTGACAGGCGCCACTTAATTAAACTGACAGAACATTGCGTCTCGACACTCCTTCGAGCTACGGCAAAAAGGGGATTGACCACAGCGAATGTGATTTATTCACTTGCCCATCGATCGTATTCAGTAATACAAAGGCGAGGCGCGACCCATTGAAAAGTCTTCCTTGCATGCGCGGATCTGTATTATAAGCCCGCCTTCGCTCCTACACCTGCTACATACACCGACACTACAAAGGAAAAAGGGAACGATTCCGCGCAGTCCTTGAATTTAGACTCGCGTATGTGTATATCCTTTCCTCCGCCGTCTCGATATACAAACGAACAGAAGAAGAAAAAAATACAAAAGACCAATTGTTTCCGCCCGGCCGCTTATTAAAAGAAAAAAATGCTTGTGCAAATGCGGAGAATCGATCGACCGATACAGCACCAATTGTGAGTATAATTCATTTTTGCTCTATGAATGGCAAGCTAAGCGTATAATTATTAATAAATATATGAAAAATATGGAAACAAAAAGATTATTGTCACTAGCTAGCAAAGTAATAAAAATTCAAAGACAAACTAATATTTGCTAGTTTCATCTAATTAGAACTTGTATTTTAATTTTAAAAAATTCGCATTATCTCAAAAACAAGGCATACATAATTTATATAAGCTTTAATCTTGTTCTGAACTATTTAAAATATTTAAATTTCTATTATATTTCAAGTTTTAATCGAGCAAGTTGAACATTAATATTTCACATTTATATATCGCTTTATCAAGAAATTCACAGTAATGTAAAAAAGAAAAGTTTGAATTTTAATTAAAATTAATTTCTGCGATTTCTATAATAGAGTAACGACCTTTGATAAGATAGTCGCACAGTCAACCTAAAACTTTTAATCTATCTTTAAAATAATCAAGCATTATGATTTATATTAATAATTATATAATAAACAATAGCGTAGTTCACTTTTATATTTGTTCCATTTTTATTTTATTATATACTTGTTTCTATTATCACTTTGTATTGTTATGAATTATGAATTTTAGATAACTATTAAATATACATTTGTTCTTGATCAAATTCAAATATTTTTCTACTTAATCTATTCAATGAACAAGTTTTATCTTGATAAAGAAAAGGTGCTTGCTTATTACATTTCACAACATTCTAGGAATACTTTTACAGTTACTTTTGCATTCACAGTAAAATATCTTGATTAGCTTTAATACATTGAAGAAGAAAAATATAAGCAATAAGTTATGAAAGAGTTGAAAGATAATATTTTATATTTTATAAATGTTCATATATTTAAAAAAAAAAAAAAAAAAAAAAAAAAAAAAAAAGTTACTACAACAATCTATCATACAATAATATTTATATAGTGAAAAAAATACTAAATTACCAAAAGTAAAAAATTAACTATATTTTTTTTGTTTCATTTATAAAAAAAAAATAATGAATAATTTCGATTTGATTTTTATTTTATTTCAATACTAGCAAATATTTTAAAATATTTGTAAATTTTATTCAAAGAAATTATATCTTCTGTAAGCCAGAATAAACAAATATGGATAAGATTTAGATAAATCATTTATCACTTGTCAGTAGTCAAATTAAAAAAAAAAAATTAAAGTTTCTTTAAAATTTCATTGCACAGTTACAGAAAAATTATTTTAATGTTATATACGAATAAAAAAATTACAAAAAAAAAGAAAAAAAAAGGAAAAAAAAAAGAAAAACGGGCACACCTGAAAATTGTAACTTTATTGTAACTTTATTTTCTCGAGTAAAAATTGCAATTTGATTAGCAATTGGTAAACTAGAGGGAGATACAACACTTGAAACTTGCAATTGCATTTGTGCAAATGAACAAGCTTAATTCTTACTTCGTTTAATGTGCTCGCTGCATTAAAGGGGAAAAACAAAAAAAAAACAAATAAACACACAAGAAATGTAAAGACGAGGAAATGACAAGTTAAATCATGCCGAATCTACTCTGTATCTAGCCAATTAAGAGAAAAGATAATAGAAGAACAAAGTATTCAATTTGGAGGCACAAGTAGCGAAGGGAAGGAGAAGATGAATAAGGGAGAGTTTTCGCTCAAGTTTCGCCCATTACTTTAAACAATCACTCGTAACTGTTAAAAAAAACTTGGGTACTCGCGAAAAGCTGTTTTTGTGGGAGAGTATTAGTGTGAACGAAGTTGCCGTAGACGAATGACCGTAATCTGCGAAATGCTTGGCGATTCTTATTTTAGGATCCAACGAAACTCGAGGCAGCAAATTCTCGAAGCGAAAACTGCTTGCGCCTCCCAGTAATCGGTGATACGAGTTGAAATGCTAATTAAATAATAATCATAGTAACCATTAGGAAGTTTTGCAAGTGGAAGGATATACGGAATAAGTGCTCTATTTCCTCTTATAATTTTCATTCTTATATATTCTAATCTAAGTTTAAATATTTATTTAAATTTTAATTCCATTTAAAATTATTTGAGGCATATGTTTTGTATATTTAAAACAAATGCATGATAAACTTTAATTAATAATCATGCGTCCAATTAATATTTTATATAAAATTGTATATTGCAGTTTAAACATTACCTTAAGTCAATATTGAACTTAAGTATATTAATTATTAATCATACCTTAATATATAGATATTATTATGTATTATATAGATTATATACACAGGTAATAGCATTCCTTATTAAGACGTTATATTAAGAATTGTATCCTTTATAAGAAATCTTTATATTAAGAAATAATTTCTTGACTGCAGTTTGACCTTTCAAGCGCTATAATATTTAATTGAAATGTTATACTAATCCAATAAATTTCTAATTCTCAATTTATTCTTCAGAAAAAATGTTCTACAAATTTCTTTCGTGATCTTCATTGACAATAGATATTAAAGAATAATTATCTAAATCCGTAAGAATTTTCATGCACGGAGACAATGATAATGATTAAAAATGATAAGAATATGTATTGTGACGAAACGTTTTTGAAATTTTTAAAATTACTTCTTATCAATAAGCAACCATTAAATTGATCCAATAAATAGACTTGTCCAGGTTTCGTATGAGCTTGCGCTTGCGCAGGTAAAACCTCCAACTAGTATAGAAAAGGGGACACAAAGGCATGAAGGCACATGTTGAATGTTTCTCAATTTTTCTTGCAATTTCACTGCAGTTTCAGGATCTCCCTGTTTTCTTTCTCGTTATCAAGTTCTTTATCGTTACGGCACAAGGAGCGACGGCGTCGCCCTAAAAAGAGTAAACCAGAAGCAACAGCATCGAAATTTCCGGCCGTCCAGTGGGCTTATAACCTTGAAAATAATGATTAATCATTCTGACACTTATTACAAACCGTACTGACAATGGCCATTATTAGTCAATAGGCTACGAAAAAATCTGGTTCACCAATGGGATCTCATGCATAGCTAATAAGAGCTCGCCGATTCTGTTATTACAACCAACTACTGTGCCTCTATATAATTATTTGATGTCTTGAAGAGCCGTCGAACGAAAATATTGTGAATTAGTTAACCATATAAGCAACGAAAGATCTCAAGCGTATTTTATTGTTTCTTTATGATTGGCACTAGAATATTGTAACAGTTATAATCTGCTAAGTGCTAATTGCGTGGTGCCTATTGATTTATAAAATAATTGCCATATCATTTGATTATAATATTTATGAAATCATTTCTATTCTTCATAAATTAAATTTATGTAATTTAGGTAAATTTTATAATTTGATATATTAGCAATTATTATATTAGCTATATATATATATTCAAATTAATTTATAATATTTATTCTACATAAATGTTTATTAAATAAAGCTTTTTTTTTTTTTTTTTTTACGTTATTCACTATTTTAACGTTTATATTTCAAGTATTTATTTATTTACGTTTAGTAGAATCCCCTCATTTTTCATCTATTTAAATTAGTGCAATATATTATAATATTACAATATAATATATATATATATATATATATATATATATAATATAATAATTATAATAACTTAATTATAATACCAACTACTCGTATTAAAATTAATATTATGATGTTAAAATACAAACGTATTTATAAGAAATACAATATAAATATAAGAATATAAAATAAAAATCATTTTATACGATATATTAAATAGGAATGAAACATAGAGTTTAAATGTGAAAAAATATTACATATAATGAAATGCTCTTGCAGCGATAAATAACTAGTTATTAAAATAAAATATTTATTACTTACATAGCAGAAGGAAGAAGTTGAATTTCATCGTCACTATTGGGACGCCAGCGCGATGCCTGAAAGTTATAACGATCATCTATTATATTTTGTAAAATGGCAAAATAAAAAAACTATATATTAAAAAATTGTTATGAAATGAAATGAAATGAAATGAATGTTGCATTTTTCAATTTCATATAATATTTTTATTCTAAACAATAGAAGGAAAGATGAAATAATACTGAACGATATTTTAATTTCTTAAGTACATATAATAGAGAATAAAAAATTTCATATGCATAATTATATATATATATATATATATATATATATATATATACAATAGTATAAAAAATTAAACAATTTATTGCATTAATTATTCACAGTTACAAACATAAAAACCTAAGTAAAGAATTCCATAATATAAAATATTATGTAATATTTCTATTAGTACCCTTTTTTTAACTCAATTTCTTAGGGAATCATTTTCTTTTTCCATTATATGAACAATCAGAATCAATATTAAAAAATAATTAAATTAAGACAAAATTTGCGCCATTTTTTTAATGAAGTATTCGAGTAAATTTTAATCTGAATGTTTTTTATTACTACATTTATCATTTATAAGCACATGTGCATTTGTCGTTAAAACGAATACCTTACATGAATTCTATTTTTAAATTACAAATTCCCCGTCGAATAACAATAAATCATTGTTCTCTATACGAGAAAGTGACTGTATCAGCAAAAAACTACCATGAAAAATAGTGCACGAGTGGCTTTTCTTGTTGAATTTTTAATATCGATATATTATGCTACGGTGTATGTATGTCATATCTATGTTTTTAGTAATAAATCAAAAAGGATGCACACTCTTGTGGTTTTATAACGGAACTATTACGACAATACGGAAAAAAAACTACTAACAAAAAATCTTAGCTCTAAAAGCCAACACACAAAAGGCAAATAATCTTTAATTTTGTATTAAAATTACTTGTTTCCGTTCAGAAATCAATAAGAAATGGAATACTACTTAGTTATTGGAATAAATTATTATTCCGGACCCTTTTGCTAAAAGTAATACAAGCAACAAATAAATAAATAAAAAGTCTTGATATATTTAAATGTTTGAATAATATTTATGTATAGAATTTATGTTATTAAATAAAGTAATATTTAATCATAATTTATTATAAAATAAAATTACTAAAAAAAAAAATCATTATAATACGTTTTCATATGATATTAAAATTTCCTAGATATAAAATTAATAAATTGATAATATTAATTAAAAAAAAGACTAATATTTTATAAAGGAGTTAGTTGAAAAGTTTTTAAATTTTCGATCTACTGTTTTATTTTTATTGATTTAACAATAAACTACTCGATTCAATTAATAATATTCTTTCATTATTGATTACTCAATTTACAGAATGCTATATTTTAATTTATTTTTTAATCTTATAATTGTATTATTTATGTATATATGCATTTATGTTCAGTATGTTATTTTAAATAAAGTAGTTTTTCTATAGATTTATATAAAAAAAAATTTTTTTTTTTTTTTTTTTTTTTTTTATGAAATAATTATTTAAATATTTTCAAATCAAATTTATTAACAATATGTCGAATATTATAATTGTAAATTATTTTTAAAAAATAAATAAAATTTTGTAACTATTTTATTGACGAACAATTAAGATAATAAAAAAATTAAATAAACAAAGTAAAAAATGTCGTTTACACATAAATTATTAACAACAACACATTTGTTGAATAAAAAGATTGTTACAAATGAAAAAGTTTTCAAAAATATTTTATTATTAAATGATAGTGATTATCAACAAGAAAAATTTGAAATAAAAATTTATGTGTGCAGTTTCTTTCATTTTTATGCGAATGTAAAATCTGAAAGTACATTAAGAAATAACAACATACATGAATTTTTGAAGATTATATTTCAAAAAAATCAAAAACAGAAGTTTATTTTCTTTAGTTGATAGTGTGACATCAATTCGTAATTATTTCCACTTACTATAGGAGAACTTGGGCCTTAATAATCACATTGGTTAAGTATTGGGTAAGTCAAATTTATTGATTTGACGTAAACCACAAAAAAATCGTTAATTTACTAATATTTCATAAACATTAATCAACAAAACATTTAAAAAATACTAGCAAACGACATAAAGAACTCCTACAAATATAGTCGATATGTAATTGTATAAGAAATCGAATCGGTCACAGTCACTGCATCTTCTTAAATAATTAATAGAAATTAGAGATATGTATCCTCAATCACGAATCTCACCAAATATTATAAGCCATTCGAGCTCGGACAAGCTATCCGATAAGCACGAGTGTCATGCATAAACGTGCTTAAATTTTTTTTGCGAAGACGATCACAACTTCCGCCGTTAATTGAATTGCAGATTGCGCTCAGCCTGGTGCTTCGGTCAAACGATACATTAAGCATATACGACATCGTAAATAGGTATGTATACCAACATTTATACATTTGGCATCGATCTGACATCCTAACGTAATATCAAGGATTTGGGATAAACAACTTTTATATCCATTTTAACTGGTGCTCAATTATCTTCCTTCATCATTTTTATAGCTGAAGTTTTAATTATAAATATGGAATATACGAATGACTGGAATGTCAAAGTTTTGGCAATATTTTTATATTGTAAAGTTGGGTATAATTATGCAACGTATTACAATTATTTTAATGAATCTTACTATTGAAACAGGAATGTAAAAACTTTAAAATTGAATATTTTTTACTCTATTTATTAAAATTTTTTTATTTAATCTAACTAGCAATAAAAAGAAAATAACATCCGAAGATGCTTGGAGATTTACATACAAGAGATTATATTTTATGATTAAGATAAACAATATTTAACAAAGTATAACATTCAATTATTAATAATTATTTTTATGTAAAATACAATTAAATTTCATAACAAATTTTGAAATTTAAAATTATTCATTATAAAATCAAACCTTGATCTTTGAAGAAATGTAATTTGGAAATATGAATATTATTTCAAATGTGAGTATAATTTTAATTTAAAGAATTTAAATTCCTCAGCTTTCTACATGTAACAACGCAAATTATTACTTAATTTTAGGAAATATTTTAAATCAGTCATATTATTAAAATTTTTCTGATTCGCCATTTCTGTATATATATATATATATATATATATATATATATATATATATATATATTTAAATAATTATTATAACTTTTATCTTCCCAATGTAATAAATTACTTTACTGATAATTACATTATCACCTTTATTCTCACACATATAAATGTATGTAAACATATAAAGTACCTTTATTTATCTTCTCTAATGTGTTTGAGAATCACATAAAAATATCATTAAATTTTAACTGGTATTTGGAATTTATATTTAATAAACTCATTTTTATACTTATAAATAACCATACAAATCAATTTATCTTTGATAAAAAAAAAAAATTATATTGGCTATAGAAATATATATAAATATACTTATGACGAATTAAAATCGCAAGTTACATTTATTGAATATAAATATTGCAAATATCAGAGAAAATGTAATATTTCTGTATAATTTCTGTCTGATTCTCAAACGTATTATATAAGATAATATATTTATATATGCTTATATTGGTTTTGTATATTTATATAACGCAAATATAAAAGGGAATATTTTTATCACGATTACACTTTAAATCTAAGCTAAACGAAATTAATAAGTAATTGAAATTTAAAATATTCAAGGAAATATTTTTTCATAACAATTTATATTTAACGAATATATGTAGCAATGTAAATATATATAAATTTCAAATTAATCACAATTCAGAATGCATTCGAATCGCAGAATATATTAGTATAGTAATATACAAACAAACATTAATCAACACATGCGTAGCAGTTTTTATTTAATTACCTTGGTTGATTATTTTTTTCAGTTATACTTCATTTACTTATTTATTTATTTGTACTTTATATTAAATACATTTTAAAAAGCACAAATTAACGAAACAATTGAGATAGTACTATTCCCATTACTATTAGTTACTATTAGTATTAGTTATTCATATTACTATTAGTACTATTAGTATTATAATAAAAAAAAGGTTAGAAACTAAGAAATTTATATAAATGGTATATTTAGACTGATAAAATTTCATGAAAATGATGTTCACGCCATTTTAAAAATCATAATGATGAATACTCTTGTATGATTTTGTCTTACTAATCTATCTGCATATAAAATATTTATTGCAATTAAGCAATGCATAATCAATCCTTTCATTCAAATTAAAAAATAGAAAATAAACATAAAAAAATTATATTCAGTGAATTAAAATTTTGATACTAAAAATCATTTCGAATATAATCAATTATTTATAATTACATTTTGTTCTTAAACAAGATCTACTGATGTTTTGAGTTTAAATTTCTTAAATTAACGAATATCATTCCAAATCAAAAATAAAAATTATTTTATTTTACACATACTTCAATAATTTCAATATTTTATCAAGTGATTTCATTATATATTAATTAACATGTATATTTTTATTTAATTTAACATCGAAGTTGACATTTAATAGCAGTTTTTATATATAAATATAAACTAATAGAATAAAATATTTCATATTTAATAATGATAATTGTACTTATTAGGAAAGCACAAATATCGCTCAAATTATATTAATATTAATTAATAGTTATGATAATTATTTGTTTTAATCCACAATACCTGGAAACATAAGCCAATTCATTACTTATAATATAGAATTTAGTTTCATGTTTCAGAAGTAATGTTAAATGACTTGAGCAAAGCTTATAATATAATAGGCAAATTCATATTAAATATCTAAGATCTTTAATAAAACTGTTAAATTGTTAATAATAAAATTGAATACTAAAAATATTAATTTGACATATGCGTACACATACATACGTATATATATATATATATATATATATATATATATATATATACTATTAATACAATATTTATGACAATAATCTCCTGTCGGATTATAATTCTATTGAAC